CATTTGCCTCACCGGTGAGGCAAAAGTGCGTTTTTGCAATCAGTTCAAGAAAAGTTTATTAAATGGAATGTATTCAAAATATAGACATGAGCCTTAGTGAATTTTGAAAAAGAATGTTTGAAGATTTTACAATTCAAATTTCAAGACTCTAGCTATATCTCAACGGTAGATATATAGGATCAAAAACTAAGTGCGCACTTTTGCTCCACTCTAATACTCTATTGCAGAAAAAGGAGTTACTTACTCGGTATAAATTTACGACAAAGGAACACATGCCTATCACTACTACAATAAGATAAGATATTGCAAGATTTGTCATCAACAATTTAAAAAGCCTTGAAAACAATAAATCAAACAATGAAATTTTTTATTGTTATACACTTAGTTTTAGATACCTACTTTTGTGCATTTTGATGAAGTTCTACTGTTCTCATTAGTCTTTCAACAATTAGATTTCTCTTGTTAGAGCACGCTATTACCTTCTTGTCCACAGAATGTTGTATTCGATAACTGATGACATTAAGTTCTCGTTTAGCCAACAAAATAATTATTCATCTTCTTATATTGTATCATTCTAAGAAAATATTATTAAAACTTTAGCATTCCTTACCTGCAAATTTTGAATAATGCGCAGCAGTGCAAAGAAATCAGTAGAAGCATCGTAGATACGGATAATAGCGAAAGAACACCAATATTAATACTTATAATAGAATACAAGAGAAAATAATAAAACTGTACTCCCTTATTCATGTGGTATTCGTTCAGGAATGATATATAATGTGCACGTGATTCGTTTAATGGCCGGAAAAAATCGAGGATATCTGGTATTAGTTCCATTATTAACATTGTAAATACAGCAAATATCATCAGCACTAAATTATATAAGATATGCCATATATTATAATATTTTTTTCCATTTTAAGCGTAAAATAGTTACAACATACTAAGCGAAGTCGAAGAAAATTATAAATTAAGGAATACTTTATATCGCAAATATAATATAACTGAATGATATATCCTTCTAACTATGCTATAATATTCTTTATACATGAAGATAACGTTATTACATGTACTTATAAATGTTACGGTTTTCCCTTGGTGAGCGTAATGTTCTACTATTTTAATTTCCTGTGGATCTGTCAACATCCGCCGATTATTAATAATTTCTTCTAGCATCTGTTTTAGCTGTATTAAGTGAATTTTAAATTAGGCGAAGTCTCAAATAAGTATAAAAATCGCCTTTGTTAATTAAAATTAGAAGACAACTTACTTTCTTAGTGTCGAAGAAAAATATATTAAACTTTACAACATACACCATAGCCGGTAAAGCATCCGACAGAATCCTAATAATGACATTTATACTACAGTCGGCTATAGCAAATTGTGCGAACTAGAAAAACACATGTCTCAATATCAATTGTGCATTTAAAAATGATTAATTCAACGTTTTATTTATTTTATACGGGATAAACTTTTAATAATATATTTTTTGAGTTCAAACAATTTTTTCTATGAAATAAAATACAAATAATCTTTAGTAAAATATCGAATAGGAGACCCATCTCCTATGACTTTAACCTTACATGACATACATTATAGAGATCCTCCTGAATACTCTTCAGAAGGATTTAACCGTCGTCGTTCTTTATTACAAGGTTATTAACAAAATAATTTTACTGAATAAAACTGTAACTGTTTGATATCATGTACATTTAAGAAGAAATTTACATTTTACCGAGGCTTATATTTTTCTTTTCTTACACCCCCTGCACCCTCATCTCAGAAACGCGCATTATCTTTTTAGCACACATATCATTAACAT